GTCTGCTGGAGAGGGGGGGGCGCACTAGCTGCGCCCCCTCCCCCCCCAGCAGACCAGGGAGACCTGAGCAAAGCCGCGGAGACGCAGAGGTCCCGCCGCCTCTGCGGCTTTGCTCCGGTCTCCCTGCTGTGCTGGGGGGAAGTCCCCCAGCACAGCAGGGAGACCCGAGCAAAGCCGCACAGGTGGCGGGACCCCGCTGCCCGTGCGGCTTTGCTCCTTTGCCCCGGAGCAAAGCCACAGGGGTGGGGGCCCCCGCCGCCTGTGCGGCTTTGCTCCGGGGCAAAGGAGCAAAGCCGCACGGGCAGCGGGGTCCCGCCACCTGTGCGGCTTTGCTCGGGGCTCCCTGCTGTGCACACCAGGGAGACCCGGAGTAGCTTTTCTCGCCCCGGAGGATGCGGTGGCGGGACCGGTACACTCGGGGCGGTCCCACTGCCCGCGAGCTCCGGGGCGAGAAAAGCCCCGTTCATAAGTGCGGATCCGCGTAAGTCTGGGACTGTCTGTATTCTGAGTTCAGCACTAATACTGTGTTTCTGAAGAGACTTCCAGTTTTTTTACAGAGGTGTAAACCTACCTATGCTAAAGGCATTATATGTCTGGATGTAATTTATTATCATATACTGCATTTACAGTATGAAAACTTTATACACGTGTGTGATTCAGTGGTCTGTTATATCTATAGGAGAGATAAAGGATGTAGGAGAAAGAAAGAACCTGAATTATGGGTCTGATGCCTGAACCAAAGTAAGAAAGAGTCATACTATGAGTAACAGATAGTCCTTGTCCAAAACAGATGTTTGCCTGCAAGTTAGTATCTCTTGCACTAGAACTGCTAGCACTGATAAAAACACCTGAAATATGTACATACATTCCATCAGGACAGTACAGGGACACCCAGCTGAGTACATGATAAAATAGTTTGAAACAACAAGACTGAAAGCATAACAATGGGTAGTGAATGCTTTGGAGGAAAGTAAAAGAAGGGGTACCAAACATGTGAATAATGTGTAAGATGATACGTAAGGTGTGTATCATAGATTGTTTATCTCTGTCTATAAATGTTGGGGTACCTCAACTTAACTCTTTGGCCAGCCTAAGGACAATAGTGAAATCCATACTATTGATTGAGCGGAGTCCATTGTCCTGGGTACAAATACATAGGGGCTCAGAGGCCATCTGGCTACCAACGACTCTTAATGTACTTCGTCTGACAATAAACCTGACTCTGGTGCCTTCGTATCTTATCTGAGTCTGTGGTCTTTGGGTGCTCTCATGAAGTCTGTTATGCTAGCTACCTTCTTAGAGCTGGCATGATATACTGAGGGAGCATATGGAAACGCACACAGCCGAACATTTATTATCACTGATGGAGCAGTAGACCTGCCAGGACGCCACACCAGTGAATCCTGAATTAACTGTATCGCAGTCCTGAACTACTACAAAGGAAAGGTGCTATTCACAGCATTCTTAAGACATCATAAAGCCATGTTTATAAAATATTGTTTCCCGCTTCTGAGGTGAGGATTTTTTAGAAGTGCTTTAAGATTTTTTGAAAGTCTTTGTGGTTTCTTTGAAAGAGACCTTTGCAAAGATGTACTGAAAAAGAGTGAAAATTGTCTCTGTCAGTCACTCCATCAAATTTAATTTAATCATATCCCTATGATATCTGCTTGGTAACCAATGGGTTTTAAATGTTAAGACCTGTCATTTGTTGACATGTAATTTTAGCTAACAAAAAGATACTGAACAATGCTACGAATAGCTGCCTCTGCTCATGGACAAAAAGCCCCAAACAGAGCAAGCAGGTGAAAACAAACACAGAATGTTCAAGAAGAATAGGCCGAATAGATTAATTAATAATCAGGAGATAATTGGATAACTGACGTCTGCAAAAGATTTCCTGCTAAATGAAAGAGCATTTTTCCTTCTGGTGTCCAGGGCTTGGAAAATTTGTCCAACGCCCAATAATCCAACTCTTAGCAGAACAGTGTGGAAAATAGCCACAAAGCCATATTCCTGCATTTAAAAGGAACTAAACTGTTGTAGAGTATTTATGACATCTATTTAATTGTAACATATTGACCATCAAATTTCTATTTAATCTTTTCTAAATAATTAAAGTGTCTCACTTGCTTTTATTTTGCTTTTTTCCCCATTCTGACTTCACTTTTTAATTTCCTATAACAGATCATAGAATTTGTAGTTACACATTTCCTCCTTTTCTTCTCATTACTTATAGTATGTTCTCTACCTCTTCGATATATTTTTATCTCAAATTTATTGTCCCACGTATCTCTGAAAAATCAACTAATCTCTCTCTTTCAGTCTCATTCTTAAATTACACCCATCAGTTGTTGACCTCTGTAGGGGAGGAGACGGTTACGGGGTCAAAGTCTTTTTTTATCGACCCTCCCAGGTGAGCAGGCAACTACCCCAATCCCAGCTGGTGGGAAGGGAGAAGATGCTTGCGATGCCAATTAGGATGCTGTCTCTGGATCCTATCTTTTGTATCCACCTCTGACAAGGTGCAGTTCTGTCTACTTCAAAGTTTCCCAGCCCTTAGCCCTTCTTTGGCTGTTGGAAGGAGTGGGGAACAGTGAGAAGAAGAATGTTCCTATTTCCTTTCCAAGAGTTTCTGGTACATGGGTGAGTTTCTACTATTCAAACCCCCTTCAGCCTCTCCTGTGTGATGGGATAGGTCTCTGCCGCTTCTCTTAGCTTGGTGGCCATTGGAAAATGGCGTGTCTCCTTTCCCTAGTTTCAATTTGAACCTTCCTCACCAGTGACTAGCTTCAGTTGCAATTTGTTGCTCTCCCATGCTTTGGTAGAATGAAATTGACTTGATTCTTGTCCATTTCATTGCTGCAACTGAAAACTGAAGATTCATGTTGTCACTCTGCAGTATCTGTGCGTCTACACTGCAGGGCTTAACTCAAAATAAGCTATGCAAATTGAGCAACATTAATTGCATATCTTATTTCGAAATAGCTTATTTCGAAATTGGGAGCATATTTTGAAATAGAGCACTCTTCCTCTGACTTCCCTTATTCCTCGTATAATGAGGGTTACAGGAGTTGGAGTAAGAAGTCCTCCAGTTTGACATTATTTTTACATTATTTCAAAATAACTGCCTGCTGTGTAGATGCGGGCAGAGTTATTTCAGAATAGTGATAGTTATTTTGAAATAATGTTGCTGTGTAGACGTACCCTGTATAGATGAAATCTCTCTGAGCCATAGCAACCAGAGGCACTGAAGCACATTGTATACAGGATCAGGCAGGTGACACTGCATTAATTTACATCTGCAGTTCACATTTGAATGATTGTCATACCCATGCAAACTAAAAACTTGTTTTTCATTGAAATGGAAACTTAGGTCCTACAAAGAGTTTGTCATATGCCCAAGAAATTTTCTACTTATATCAGCCAAGTTGGTTTTCAAGCCTTTCTAGCATCAAATGTGTAGTTTTAAGTTTTAACGTGGACTGTGCATCAAGTCCATTTTATCTGCCAAAACCACTCAATGGCTTGGATGATGGTTAAATCTGAACAATTATAGTTCTGTCTTTCTCATCATAGTTCATTTTTATTTCTCTTTTACCCAAACCACTACTAATTCAAATACAAATGTGGAACAAAATTCTTGTCACTGTATGAACTGCACATTTTACAAATATATAGAGTTACAGAGCAAAGATCATTGTTAATTTTCTAAATAGCTTTAGAAATTTTCTGAACTGTGTCCTCATAACAACCTATTTTTTTAAAGAAAGAAATCCTAAATTCACAACCATCATGTGAGGCCAGATAGATTTTCTTTTCCTTTTTTCTTATCTGAGGTTGTTGACCTCAGGAGAGGAGGAGAAGGTTACAGGGTCAAAGTCTTTTCCTCCTTGGAGCTTACTGCTTGCTGGGAGAAGACTAGCTGGAAAATAGATGTTTTAGAACAGGGGTTGAGGGTCATGATTTTAATTCTGTTAGGGAACAGCTGGTTTGAGTTTCTTTCCACTTCTATCTTCCCTCCATCCCTCTCAAATCCATGGAGAGAGAAAAATTTGTTCAGAGGGCAGCACTAACACAAAAATATACAATTCTAGTGTTTTAGTACATCAAATGTATCATCTTTGTTATGGGGCTTCACATTAGGTGGGAAAAGAGAGCATTTATTGAAATAATGGGAACATATTGATTTATATACTGGATTAATTTTGAATTACGGCGCTAGAGGTTTGCTTTTATACCTGTCAAATAGCTAAAAGTAATTCATGTTTCATTGCCTTTTAATGGCAAACATGTACTCTTACTTTGTAATTTACTAAGATAAAGCTAATTATAAATGTACTTTATTAAAGTTTATATACAAGGGACTGAAAGAAGGTCATTTGACTTGGCTATTTCTATTTAGATATTTTTCATCTTTGCATGCCTCTTTCATAACTAAGACCAAAGAGAAGGAGAGAAGCTCACAACTCTCAGATGAATGGCAAACTAAGAACAGATTTTTTTTGTCTGCACTCCTCTGAAACATTGGCCTCAGGCTATGTTGGTGTGTGGCTCAACAGCAATCAGAGGTCATAATTTCATTGGCGGTTAGCATCAGGTTTAATTTTTCTAATATGTTACATTTACCAAAATGTCTGGTTTCAGTTACACTTATGCACTGACTGAATCAGCTTTGAGCAGCACAATGCTTTTAGGTACCTGAAAGGGTTCAAGAACATTTATGGGACATATATGCTAATTGTTTTTAACCACTTTCCTTTCTAAATACAAAAATGTGTTTTTAGATAGCCTTATAATAGTAGTACTAGTTAATCATAGTGCACATTTGTTCTGTGAATAGATTATAAAAAGGGGGTAAAATTGTAGATTTAACAAGACTGCCATCTACCGATCTACACAGTCAAGAAAAGCCCCCCATAATGAGCAGATCTTTAAGGGTTCTTTTGTTTGTTTTTATTTTAGCCTAATAATAATAATGCTGAAAATATCTGTCATTTTAGGAATGTGACCAGGTTCATATAGATGATGTGTCTTCGGATGACAATGGCCAAGACTTAAGGTAAGTCAGAACTGACCAAGATAATTATTGGTTTTTCAAGTTATTTCTTGGAAAAATGGTAACATGCCATTAAACATATATTGGGCCAAGTTCAGCCTTCAGTTCTGCCTTTGCAATTTGGCCCATCATATTTTGTTAATTTGGGAGCTTTCTTCACTCTAAATAGCACCTATAACTTCGGAACAGACGGCTTTCCTGCAGCAGCCACCAGCGCTAATTTATGCCTAGCAACAGGTGTGCGTGGAGGAGTGGACTGGATGAGAAAATTGGCCTTCCGTTATAGACGAGTAAAAGAAATCTACAACACCTACAAAAATAATGTTGGAGGCAAGTGTCCATCAAAAATAATACTCATCTGGTTTTCAGAAAACAAATAAGTTATAAATAAAAAGTGCCTTTGTTTGCTGATTCTTTTCAACACAGTTCTGTTTATTTAGAGAACTGTTCATTTTGTAGTCTCTACAGAAAACTGTTCTTACAAGTAATGGAAGCAGAAGAAAGTTTTTTTTTTTTTAATTTAAATACTGACACATTATTGAGTACCCTTTTCTACACCACAGGTCTTCTAGGTCCAGCAAAGAGAGAAGCGTGGTTGCAGCTTAGAGCAGAAATTGAAGCTCTTACAGATTCTTGGTTAACACTTGCACTGAAAGCACTCACACTTATTCATTCTAGGTAAGTATGTAAGAGCTATGATGGCTGCACAGAATATTCATGAAACGTAACAATGTGTTGCACACACAACGCTTCATTTAAAGAATATTACGTTTACATAGTTGAGCATTCACAAATTAGGAAATGCCATTATCAAATCTGATCATGAAATCTTAATTAGGCCTTCTTGTTGCATATGCATAATGATGCAATGTTTAATCACATGATCACATCCTATTTTTTTCCATGATCACTATGCAAATTATGTATCTTATTTTGATTCTACTTTAGAATAGCTTATTTTGAAATTTGGCGCATCTACACAGCAGCAGATTTTGAAATAACGTGCTATTTTGAGACAACCTTTAACCCTCATGGAACGAGGGTTACAGGGATGCTTCAACAGCATGCCCATTATTTCAAAAAATAATTTGAAATAACAGGTGACTTGTTAAGATATGGGGTAGCTATTTCGGGATACTACTTGTATCCTGAAATAGCTGTGCAGTGTAGATGCACCCTTAGTGAGCAACTCTTTAGTATTTTGTTTTCTCTTCATTGTGTGGTTCTAGGATTTATTTGTAGCACTCTAGTCAAACTGTGACATGAAAATAGAATTAGTCATTTCCTCATATGCTCTACTGTTGCAGTCATGTCTATAGTATCTGTGGGCATGACTACACTGGGGAGTTATTTCGAAATACCTCCCCTTATTTCAAAATAACAAGGTGAGCGGCCATACTACCAAGCCTGTTGTTTCGAAATACTAACTCTTGCTTGTGAAAAGGAATAAGCTTATTTCAAAATAGTAGTGTAGACACAGCCTGAGTGTTTAACATGCATTACATCATTTATTTTCACAGCACTCCTGTGAAGTGAGGATATTAGGCCCATTTTACAGATGAGAAGTTGAGGCACAGAGTGATTAGGATCAAATGTGTCCCATTAACTTTGAGTGCCAAGTTTGACACATGTAGGGTCTGATTTCTCAGAGTACTTCGCATTTACATAGCTCTTTGTATGTTCAAAGAGCAGATCCCATTCAATTAATTTGCAACCATGAGTGCTCAGCATTTCTGCACTTCAGACCAAGAATCTCAAATGAATCATCAAGAAACTAAAGCAGGGGTCGGCAAACTTTTCAAACCAAAGAGCCAAACTACGTCAAAATTCAAAATAAGTGGTCAACAAAGAGCCATATAAGAATGCCCATTTGCATGACTGAAAATATATAGCTTAATATTATTGATGATTGACCCGATTAATAATAGCATAAATGAAACATTATACTTTATTTAATGGGACCTCTGCTGCTGCATCTTTTTGCACATTTCTTTGAAGGTTTTATCATAACGTCAAAATTCAGGTTCATGAACGCATTCAAGCTACATGAGTAATTGTGTTGTTTTTAAAATGTTGAATTAATTTTTCATTTTTATTTAAAAAGTTGCATGTATTTTGGGAATGACCAAAAAGCCACATTTGGTTCCATACTGAGCCATATTTGGGTTGAGAGCCATAGGTTGCAGAACCCTGAACTAAAGAATATACAATTAGTGACCAAGCTTACCTGTGCAAAGTTTAGTTTAAAGGTGTAACTAGAATCACACAGGGACTCTGCAGCAGACACAAGCATAGAATCCAGTTTTCCAGGGCAGTATTCAGCTACATTAATTATGAGACCAAAGGTACTTCTACACAGCAGTGCTATTTCGGGATAATAGATGTCTGCTATCTCTAAATAGTGTTATGCGCATTTTAACAGCAAGCCCATTATTTTGAATACATTCAAAATAATGGGCTTGTTATTCTGATATCCCGTAAACCTCATTGCACAAGAATTAAGGAACTCATTGGAATTGCACTCTATTTCAAAATTAGTGCTGTTTAGACAGAACCAAATTTCGAAATAAGCTACACAATTTGCATAGCTCAAATTGTGTAGCTTATTTCTAGCTACGTGCTACTGTTTAGATGTACCCCAGCTGTTGTGTTTCAAGAGTCCCCTGCCTTATTCACTACAGATCTTCCAATTTCTGGAAGAGATGAGGTGACAGTCTTACAGACAAGAGTTTCATTCTCCACAAAGTGCTGCCAGAGCAGGTCCATATGGTATGCTGAATAAGGCAATGAGGGTCCTGTGGGGGAAGAAGTGTATATGATCATTTAATTAAAAACTGCATCTAATGCATAAACAGAATGGGGCCAAATTAAGGTTACACAAGGAACCTGAATTCTGACATTTCCTAATTTTTCAGTGCTTAAATTTGCAACTGTAATGATGATTTTTTTAATGTAGACTTTTGAGAGTACTTTCTACAATTTTAAAAAGCAAGTTTCATCATGTGACATCATATTGATGCCAAGTGGAACATCATTAGGGTTGGACCCTTAAATCAGGGGTGGGCAAATACCGGCCCACAGGCTGGATCCAGTCCACCAGGATTAGCCTCTGGTGGTCCCTTACACTAGCATATTTACCTGAGTCACCACAGGTATGGAAAATTGCATCTCCCGTTGGCCATGGATCACTGTTCCCAGAAAATGGGAGCTGCGATCACCCCTAATTGAGCGGGTGCAGGTAAATATAGTGGCTAATCGTAGTGAGCTGCCACCATTTTATTGCCCACCCCTATCTTAGATCTACCACAAAGACCTCTGCCACTTGAGTGATGAAATATCTGATAGCAGGAGTAGGCCAGACTCTGTGTGGATCAGCACTAGAAGCATGTGAGTTGCCTTAGATATTTGCTGACAGCAGCAGAACATTGAAACTCAGGGATATGGGGTTCTATTCCAGGCTACAGATGGGACTGTGATTTAGTGAATACAGTCTCTTCCCCACTACTCCCTGCCCCCCCCCATCAAAAATCTTGACCCTTCCAATCTGTTCCTGCCCCTATCCTATCTGTTCTTCACCAAAGGCTCTGCATCCCAGCTCCATTCTCTTCACCTTTAGTCCCAGTTTTCATTCTTCAGGCCTCTGATCCCAGGCTGTAAGTCCTCCAGCTCCCAGAGCAGCTCTCCCTTAATCCTGCTTCCAGACTCCTTGTCCAGCTGTTCCTGTTCCCCTCCACTCACCTTCCTGATTCCTTGTTCCCAGTCTCCCAGCCTAGCCAGTGCCGTTTGCCTTCCCTGCCCACACTCCCTGACCTCCCTCTCTCTTTTTCTCACTCCCCAGCTCCATAGTCTCCAGTCACCACCAGCCTATATTTCCCCACCCCCATTTGCTCCTAGCCTCCTTCCCTGAGCTGCATTGTCTGCATCTCCTCCGACTGTTTGGCCAAGTCTTTCTGTCCACTTAGCCCCAGTTCTCCCTCTGTAATGACATCCCTCATCAGAGCTCTCCTCCTCATCGTGCCGCTTCCCACTGGTTCCCGGCCTCTTTGCTCTGCCATTCCCAGTCTCCCATGCCCACACACTCCAGTTCTGCACCCTCTCTCTGTTCCCCTCTGTCTTTTTAACACCCTTCCAAGCTCCCAGACTTAGGCTCCTTTCCTACGTGGCTCCAGTTTCCATCTGTGGCTCCCAGTTTGTTTCCTCCTTTTACCAGCTTCTAATCCCAGTCTTTACCCCCTGGACTCTCTCTCCCAATGTACTTCTCCAACACTGCCTCTCAAAGCCCTAGCTCTCCCCCAGTTGGATCTCTAATTCAAACTACCTACTCCGTGCTGCGTGTAGCCGCGGGCACGGAGTTCGGACTAAGGGGGATTTAAAAATGGCGGCGCCCGGGAACATGCAAACGAAGCCCGGGATATTTAAATCCCGGGCTTCATTTGCAACTCCGGTTGCCCTCATTTGCCAACCTAGCTCGAACTAATGAGCTAGTGTAGACATACCCTGTCTTCTTCCTGCAACTGCCTGCATGCCACAGCAGCAGGAGTGGGAGGTCAGTAAGAGCAGAACGCTCTCAGTTCTAGTGTCTGGTTCTACACCAGCCTAGAGCAGTTCTTGTAGGAAAAGTCCAGCTTCACCTCTGGGCTAGAGGAAGCAAACTCAGTCACTATGTGGGGGGGGGGGGGGGGGCCAGCGGCAGAAGCTGGTGTGTGCACAGTCTGATCACACACAGGACATTGAGGGAATGGAGAATCTTCAGTGGCTCTGTGCAGATGACACATGTGCAATCTGGTCATCATTAGGACCTGTGAGAGGTTAGAGCATGCTCAGTGAGGATAGCATCTCTCAGGGTTTTATCTTTTAAACTCTAACAAGTCTCTATAGCTCATGTGAGAATTGTGATTTTTTTTTTTCCCCAGAGATTTATTGCTTGGACATCTGAAAGTTGGTTTTCATGCTGATGGTAAAAGGCACATCCCTGACAAAAAAATCATACTACCTTGCTAAGTTTCAAATCCCTGCTCCAGGAGCATGTGGGCCGAAAAAAAACTTGTTGAAAAACCACGTATTTTTTCCTTGCCCCATTCACAGAAACAGCTGGACCATTTTTGGCTGAATTAAAAAAAAAAACAGAGGGAGACACCCATCAGGGAAATCTTCATTCTGAATATTTAAAGTCTGACAAAGTTTTAAGCAACTGAAAATAGGATTTTCTAATGGGAAGTGTTGGACTATCACCCTGCCTGTAATATCTATGGTTTAGAAGATGCTGCAAGGTCAAGTAGATAGAATTTTGATCTGTGAGTCAGGTCTGTGTTCTTTTCCTTGTTCAACCAAATGTCCTGCTGTGTGTGTGTCACATTGCTGTGCCTCGAGTTCTTTACGTGTAATTTGGGGATAATTTTTCTTCAAGTAGTATGCCCAAGAGTGTTCCACTTAGGTGTGCTTACACCCCTGCACTGCTGATTGGATAACTTTGTAGTAGCATCCATTAGGCCTGCACATGCACTGTCTGATACCCTGCCACATGGGCTAACCCCCCTCAATTCCAACTTTCCCCGGCTAGAGATAGGGCAATTAGCAGTCCATTTGTTGTCATTCATTTCTTAGCATTTCTAGTTGTTTGTTAGTCTCCTTGATCTTAGCTGTATTCTTTCTTTTATTTTCTCTACCCCAATTTAAAAAATACTTTATTTTCTTCCCTTTTTCATCTGGGACTCCTTCCCCAAAGGGGCAGGCCTGGTTCATCGGGCTTCAAGAAGTGACTCTCTTGCAAAGAAACCACCCCTGTAACAGACGAGCACTTCCAGTGCAAACATTGCCTTGGAGAAGGCCACATGCAGCAGACGTGTTGACTCTGCCAGCAACTTAGACCCAGGGCATGAAAAGGACAGGTTGTTGAGACAAAAGATCATCTTCTTGGATGCAGCCCTCCCATTTTCCGTGGGCCTGCGTCAGAGTCACCTGGCAGATGAGGGCCACGGGGAAGACTCCAAACATCCTAGGATGGGTCAAAGCAATCAGCTGCAGACCCCTCTTGTAAAGTAATTGAAAAAGAAAGCTTTGAGTCACCAGAGTTATCCCCAAGTTAACCACAAAGGAGCTCTGGCACATTCGGTTTCATTGATACCTTTGGCATGAAGATAGTCCCAGCCAGGTATCAAGAACTCATGAAGATCTGGCGTGTCAGGAACTGTTGACAGGCCTAAAGACGTGAGGATTACCTGTTGTGTTCACTCCCTCTGAGGCATCTAGTATTGGCCACTGTTGGCAGACAGGATACTGGACTAGATGGACCTTTGGTCTAACCCAGTATGGCCATTCCTGTCTTCTTACTGAGTCAACATAATTAACAACAAAGATAGGAGTGAAGAGCACTCCATTGAGAAGACACTACCAGCATGTGGTAGTGAGAGAGGCCCTTGACACTTTCTGCACCACTAATGACAATGAAGCGGTCAGCGCCACTGGCATTTTGACACTCAAGAGATCTCTAGGTATCTGGCATCCTGGACTCCCCTCTTGGCATCAGGCCCTTGTCACAGTGTTTACCCTAGTGTGGGAGTTTTCTCCAACACCCTGCCATGCACCCTAACTTTGAATGCAATGTCAGTGACCCAGTGGAGACCATTTACTCCTCCTCCTCCTATCTGCTCTGAACCAAAAGAATCCCCAGGTTTACCCCCAAGCAGCATCACCACCACCTTAGGATGGCAGGCCCTGGACACTGCCACTGGGCTCTGCTCCAGAGCCCCAGGGATTGTACTGGGATCCCTGGGCTGCATATTGATCCCATCCTGCCTGAGCCTTGCTTGTGAGCCCCTGGGACATTCCCCCTTGGCTATAGCATCTAGAACCTCTCAACTCTCAGAGGAGATTGCTGATGAGCAAGGAATGGAGCTGAGGAAAAGGTGACTCCAAGGACCAACATAGCTTTATCTGGGGCGCAAGAGGATTTCATGCCCTTGCCAACGTGCCTAGCTGATGATTTCCAGCTTTTCCAGACCAAAACGGTTGGAGGAAGTCAAGGACACCCATCAGAAACTCCTTGACATATTATACTCTTCATCAGCCTCTAAAATATCTCCTCCATCAACGAGGCTCTCCAGGGTGTTGTAGAAATCATGTCAGACCCCAGAATTGGTGACACCTACTTGTAAGTAGACTGATAAAAAGTATTAGATGCCAGCTAGGGAGACAGAATTTCTTTTCCCCACCCTCCACCCCAACTCCAAAGTCATGTATGTGGTAAACTTCTGGGGTTGTCAACACCAAATGAGATCCACTCCCTATGATAGGGATGGGAAGTACTTGCACCTCATTGAGAGTAAGGCCTATTCCTCTGCTGCATTACATTTTAAATGGCTAATTATCAAGCCTTAACAATGAAAAACTACATAAGTAATTAATAACTTTATTGGTCATTTTCCAGGGTTACAACATGACCAGTTCAAAACTATGATCAAGGAAGGACATTTGGTAGTCAAAACAATCCCATAGTCTTCCCTCAATGCAGCCAACACTGCAGCCCAGTCCAGGTCTGTGGTGTTGCTTAAGAGATGTGCATTATGGTTACATCTTTCCAGCTTCCCTAAAGAGGTTCAATCAACTGTTGAAAACCTTCTCTTTGAAGTCACCAAGCTCTTTGCAGAGAAAAACAGACATCTCTCCCCATGCCCGGCAAGATTCCAGGCCACTGTCCACTCAATAGGAATCTACAGACCTGGACAAAAGAGAAAATTTAATCCGCAGCCCCAACACAGATTATGCACCTCACAGTACCCATTGCAGTGCTTTTATGGCCCTTAGAGGAGGAAATCTAGGTTCCTCAAGCATAAACCATCAGGCCCACAACCTTCCACATCCACCTCCAAACACCAATTTTGATGTGTTGGTTAAGGTGCCAACAGACCACTCTCCTCAACCGCTACATCTGACCAACTGTTCTATCCATTTGCCTCGCAGCACTTGGGAACACATAACATTGGATCAATGGATTTTGGAAATGTTTTGCAGTGGGTATTCCATTCATTTTATCTCCCTTCCCTCTTCACAACCGTTTTCCCAATCCCTCTTCATGGACCTTCTCCATGAGAGTTTGTTGTGACATAGTCATAGTCTCCTCCAGCTAGCAGTCAAGAGTCAGCATTGAAACAAAGGTTTTTACTATCGCTATTTCCTTTTACCCAAGAGAAAGGGAGACTGGAGTCCAGTACTAGACCTAGAGTGCTTAATGAATTTGTGAAAGCTCATAAATTCAAGATGCTTACACACGTAACACTCATGTTGTACATAAATCAAGGAGAAGAAGCCAGGTTGCCCTCCCTCTTCTCAGAAGCAATAAGGTATGGAACTGGTGCATTTCCTGTGAAGTTATACATTCAAAAGATTGCCTTCTGGGCACACAAAATGCAACAGCAGACAGCCTAAATTGTAAACATAACACTGGGTCAATGGATCACAACCATAAAAATAAAAAAATAAGTTAAAAATGACTTAGAAAAGTTAGATGTCTTCCAGTCACTAGGGCCTGATGAAATCCATTATAGAATACTCAGAGAGCTGGTAGAGGAGGTATCTGAGCCTTTAGCTATTATCTTTGAAAAAGTCATGGAAGTCGGGAGAGATTCCAGAAGACTGGAAAAGGGCAAGTACAGTGCCCATCTTTTAAAAGGGAAATAAGAACAACTCAGGAAACTACAGACCAGTCAGTTTAATTTCTGTACCAGGGAAGATAATGGAGCAAGTAATTAATGAATTCACCTATAGTTCTGTAAATGGGAAATAAACCCATCAGTACTTTACAACCTATTTGGATCCTGGGGGACACTGATCACTGATCTGTTCACTACTCACTTGGACAACAAATGTCCATACTACTGCTAAGAGCAGGGATAGGACAACACTTCCTAGATGATGCTTTCCTTACCTGGACCTGGGACCTTCTTTATGCCTTTTCTCCATTCCCCCTATTGTCGAATGTTTAGTGAAAATAAAAATCATATTGATTGATCCCAGTGGGCCAAGACAAACTTGATAACTTGTGTCATTCCATAGTTCCTCTCACAGAAAAAAGGACACATTCTACATCATGACCTTAGCATTCTTCACTTCAAGGTTTGGTTCTTTCATGGTTCCAGTGCTTAGAGAACTCCTGCTTAGAAGAGGTACAAGGGGTATTTCTACACAGTAGAAAGTTCTCAGCATGCTAAATTTACTTGCAGAGTTGCTTCACAGGTGCTGCAATCCCCAACAAATCTCCCCAACATCTGGTATCTTTCCAAAGATCTTACTCTTACAACTTAGATGTTCTGACTCTAAAAAAAAATCAGGACTATCTTTTCAACTAACAAATAGAAGCATACACAGTGCTTTCTCACCCAACTGCGAAACAATTCCTCAGGGATATAAAAAACCTTTCTCCACAATCCCAACACCCCACACCTACATTTGGCATAACACTTGTGTTGAAAGGCCTAACTAGACTGCCTGCTGACCAACAATGTTCTCTTACATACCTGTTGAAGAAAACAGCCTTCCTGATAGCAGTCACTTCAGCTCGGAGGATAGGAGAAGTAGCAGCTCTAATGGCATGTTACCCTCCACAGTATTCTGGAGCAAGGTTATACTCAGGCCACACATGAAATTCATCCCTCGGGTACCTCTCTGTTCCATATAAACCAAGTGATTCACCTTCCAACTTTCTACATTGAACCTCACTGTGACAGCAGAGAGGCTATATTCCACACAGTAGATGTCAAGGTGACCCTAGCTTTTTATTTGGAGGGATGAAGTCTTTTAGGAAATCTCCAAAGCTGTTCCTCACTGTTGTGAAAAGATCCGAGGGCTCTAAGTGGGTCTCAGGCTGCATTAGACAGTGTTATCAGATTCATAACATGACACTTCCAGATACTATTTGCATGCTCTCCACAAGGTCGAGCTCCTCATCTGTTTCCTTCTTCAAGAATGTCCTTATCTCAGAAATTTGTAGAGAAGTAATATGGCCTTGAGCCCACACCTTTGCAAAACATTATGTAATTACTGGGGACTTTGTCTCTGATGCCGTCTTTGGCTCTACAATACTGTCATCTGTAAAATTGACCTGATTCCGAAGCCTAGTCCTCAAGTAGGGATATCGCTTGGGAGTCTCCTGCAGTGGAACACTCATAGGGACACTACTTGAAGTTACTCTTCTTGTGCAATAATGATGATTCTTTGAAATGTGTCCCCTGTGGGTGCTCCACTACCTACCCTCCTATCCTCCAGTTCTTGTCAATGACTCTGTGGTAGAGAAGGAATTCAGGGGATTTAGCTTGCAAATACCAACTAGCCTCATAGTGGGGTACAAGGAAAGATAACTCATATGTGGGTATAATGGACACTGTTACCAAAGTTCTTTGATCAGCAGTGCAGAGTTGCAAGCACATCTACAATGGAGCGCCTATAGGGATATGCATCTTGAAGAACCATTGTTACTTCACTAGGTGAGTAAATTCTTCTTATATTCTCTTCCTTTCTAAAGTACTTTGAGAGTAGGATAGTGAGGTTATGTTGGGGGAGAATGGAGGAGGGTTAATTTCCCTTTTTTTAGTTGTAATATATACCTGTATATTGAAGTATGTCTGATTTGATTTTCTTGCAGGACAAACTGTGTGAATATTCTAGTAACAACTACTCAGCTTATTCCAGCTCTGGCAAAAGTCTTGTTGTATGGCTTAGGGGTTGTATTTCCAATAGAAAATATTTACAGTGCAACTAAAATAGGTGAGTTATTTTTACAACATGTTGAAATATTTGAGGCAATAGTTCTAAATGAAAAAACATATTATTTGACAGATATATTTATCTGTATATTCATATCATTATAGCATCTAGGGACCAAATAACTTACCTTATAGTAAAACAACTTTCATATTGAGCGATCTTACACTCTGGTATCGTTAGGCCTTGATCCAGCAAGCTCAGTAGACCCTTTGCTGATCTGGAGCCATAAACTGCTATATAACCACTAAAATACACTGCATCATCCACAGCTGAGATGCAGCAACCCTGCACTGAAATGTAATAGCTTTTCAACATATCATTGCAACACTACATAATAGTTTAAAACAAGAAAGTGGCTATTCTGTATGTTTGATTTTAAGACTCCGTATGTCCAAAATAATTCATTTTTTAGTTGATAGACATTTACTGTACTGTTTTTTTTCCTGCATACAAGTGTAAATCAGACAAGATGCTATAAACTGGAATTTTTATCAACCACTTTCTAAATCAAAAATTTAAAAGTTCAGTCATAAGTGTAGAACATTGTCTAAATCCAGAAAAAAATTACCTAGTGAAATGCAAGGGCTTAGTGTCCTACTCATAGTTTACTGGAAAACAGCTTTACTAGAAGCTAACATTTTTGCCTCCAGAATTTAATTATTTTATAGTTTATTCAAACTGAGATTAATAAATTTGTGCCAAAGCTTATGCAGATTTCTGTTTTTCAGTGAAATACAGGAGAAATATCATTTTAGTTTACTAGAAGTACACACTACCCGATATTAGAGAAACAAGGAATATGAATTAGTATCTTTTATTAGGGTGCTTCCTTTTTTTGGACAAACTTTCTTGCTTACACCAAAGATTTCTTCAGGCCTGGGAAACAATGTTATAGCCAAATACAAGGTGGAACAGAGTGTTTAGTGTATGTAGTGAACACACATAAAAGGAACAAGGAGTCCAGTAGCACTTTAAAGACTAATAAATTTATTAAGTACCACTGGACTCCTTGTTTTTGTTGAAACAGACTAACATGGGCACCTCTCTGAAACATATAAAAGGGACCAATCAACATAAAAGGAGCATATTGACACCTCTCCAATCATAGGGGAAAGATGTAGTAGGAAAGGCAGTTAAGTTGTCACCTGCTACCCCAGACTGGAACCTACTCATGGTATTATCAAACAAGTGCAACCCAAAGTCAATGGGGACTCTATCCCCCAAAAAATATTTCCTGAACCCGTACTTCTGGCCTTCAAGCAACCTTCCATCCTCTCCAAGTTCATTGTAAGAAGCAAGCTCCCCACAGAACCAGGACATATCAACTCACAGTGGCAGTAGATCTAGCCCAGAGCACCAGATGCAAAACCTGGAGCTATAGCTTCACTGCTACAATGAACAATATCCTGTACAATAGGCTTCTCGATATCCTTGGGTTTTACACATGCATATTACTGCATGTTGTGTATTTCATCCAGTGTATTAAATGCCCTAACAACAACTATGTGGGAGAAACCAGACAATCACTATGCTCCTGAATGAATACATGCAGGAAAATAAGACAAAAACATCACATCACCTGTGGGTGTGCACTTTTCACAGAGTAATCCCTCTATTTCTGACTGCTCTGTCCTCATTCTCAAAGGAAACTTGCACAAAACTTTCAGAAGACTAGCCAGAGAGCTTACATTCATAACTTCACTAGACACTAAAAATCAACCCACTGAATGACACACTGGATTTATGATTTATTCTAGCTCTCTGTAACACTATTTATTATAGCTCTCTGTAATACACTAGGTAGGTGGTGCATAAGCTTACCCTTCTGGGAGGCTTGGCCTATGGCCCTGTCCCTTCTGCCCGAGGTCCTGCTCCAGCCAGAGCCTTGAGCCCCACCCTCCCTTTGTAGCCAGAGGAGACTTTGCCAAACCACCCTGGGTTGCCTGCTGGCCCCAGTCACCTGCTGGCTTCTGGCCAGAGCTGAGGTCCCACCTCGTTCCAGCTTTCAGAGTATGGGCAGAGGCAGGTTTTGGCTTAAAGAGAGGTTTAGCCTCCTCTGGCCTCTTATACTCACTAACAATTCCCTCCCTTCTCCCCTCCCCCCAACTTATACACTTCCTTTCCTTTCTGTGACTAGAGGTATGTTAACAGGCCACTTCAACTTGAATGAGCCCTTGAAATGCATGTTAACAATTTATGCTATCCAATCTGTTCTACTTTTTATTTAGCTGTGACACGCTGAGTACACTTCCCTGACCAGAAGAGTTTTGTGTAAGCACCAGAGCTGTCTCTATTGCCAATAGAAGTTGGTCCAATTAAAGATATTACCTCACCCACATTGTCTCTAATATCCTGGGACCAACACAGCTACAACACCACTGCATGGCACCAGATAGTAAGGTGCATTGTAGTTTTTTCACTTAACTGTAACATCCACGTTACTAGCTCAGATTAGCCCTCAATGGTCAGCTAGATGAACACTTTTTTATTATAATCTTAGAACAAGCCTCATTTATTGTTTTTAAGCAGCCATTCAAGGACAAAACAAAATGTGGTTGTGTGTGGATCTTTTTTATTAAAGGGGGAGATGAATTTCATGTACAAAGTTGAAAGCAATCCCATAAAAGAGTAAATCCTATTTCCTGCATTTGCAAAGTTATTGTATGGTTTGTTGGACACTGACAGCAGCTCTACTGGTGTCAGGATCCACGTCTCTGACCCTCTTCTCTCACTGTGATCCTGAGCACAGAATTGACGGAGGAGAGAATCTGCTCGGTAATCTCTCAGTGGGGGTAATATCTCAGGAAAGAGATCTTGGAGTTATCGTGGACAGTTCTCTGAAAACGTCCACGCAGTGTGCAGCGGCGGTCAAAAAGGCAAATAGGATGCTAGGAATTATTAAGAAAGGGATAGTAATACGACACAGAATATCTTACTGCCCCTGTATAAAACTATGGTACGCCCACATCTTGAATACTGTGTACAGATGTGGTCTCCTCACCTCAAAAAAGATATTTTGGCCTTGGAAAGGGTTCAGAAAAGGGCAACTAAAATGATTAGGGGTTTGGAACGGGTCCCATATGAGGAGAGGTTAAAGCGACTGGGACTCTTCAGTTAGAAAAGAGGAGACTGGGGGGGGGATATGATAGAGGTCTATAAAATCATGAGTGGTGTAGAGAGAGCGGATAAAGAAAAGTTATTTATTAGTTCCCATAATAGAAGAACTAGAGGACACCAAATGAAATTAATGGGTAGCAGGTTTAAAACTAATAAGCGAAAGTTCTTCTTCACACAGCGTGTAGTCAACCTGTGGAACTCCTTGCTAGAGGAGGCTGTGAAGGCTAGGACTGTAACAGAGGTTAAAGAGAAGCTAGATAATTTCATGGAGGCTAGGTCCATAAAAGGCTATTAGCCAGGGGATAGAATTGGTGTCCCTGGCCTCTGTTTTTCAGAGGCTGGAGAAGGATGGCAGGAGACAAATCGCTTGATCGTTGTCTTCGGTCCACCCTCTCTGGGGCACCTGGTGGTGGCCACTGTCGGCAGACAGTATACTGGGCTAGATGGACCTTTGGTCTGACCCAGTACGGCCGTTCTTACATTCTTATGTTCTTAATATTATGTTGCAAATGCTTGGGGATATCTTCCATGGGTGCTTCATTACTGCGATTTTATTATGTTCTCTCACCAGCTGTTGTATGTGAAACCCTGAATAGTTTAAACTTCTTTTTCAGGAAAGGAAAGTTGCTTTGAGCGAATAATTCAAAGATTTGGAAGAAAAGTAGTGTATGTTGTTATAGGTGATGGCGTGGAAGAAGAACAAGGAGCAAAAAAGGTAGCAATTATTTTTCAGGGTAGTTTTATGTCAAGTGTTTGAAAGCAATTTTTTCATACTTGGGACTGCACTTATTGGAGGTTGGCGCTAATCTCAGATCTATTATTGTGTAGCATAATAAAATGAGAGCATTTTGAGTCATGGGCTAGTAACACTGTCTGCTTAAAATTCTAGGTCATGGATATTGCTGTCTTCCAGAAGATGCATTAAAATAGTTATGTGTATCATATCTATATATCTATTATATGTGAAAGATGTTAAGTGTGGCACTTGGTCTGACAAAAACTGATAATTCCACTTTCTAAATGTCATTCCCCAATGTCATAAAATATAGTGAACTTAAGCACAGCTATTACACTTTGGCTATGTCTACACTGGCATGAATTTCCGGAACTGCTTAAAACGGAATACTATTCCGTTTTCAGTTTTTCCGGAAAAGGAGCGTCTACATTGGCAGGCTGCTTTTCCGGAAAAGCCCTTATTCCGGAAAAGCGTCTGTGGCCAATGTAGACGCGCTTTTCCAGAAAAGAGCCCTGATCGCCATTTTCACGATCGGGGCTTTTTTCCGGAAAAGACTACTGGGCTGTCTACACTGGCCCTTTTCCGGAACAGTGTTCCGGAATAAGGACTTATGCCCGAGCGGGAGCAGAATAGTTTTTCCGGAATAGCGGCTGATTTTGTACAGTAGAGCATCGTTGCTTTTCCGGAAATTCAAGGGCCAGTGTAGACAGCTCGCAGCTTATTCCGGAAAAACAGCTGATTTTCCGGAATAAGTGGCCCAGTGTAGACACAGCCTTTGTGTTGTTCAGATACATTGTATTGTTTTGTGAATTTTACATCTTGAAAAAGTATCTGAGAAATGGAGCATATACATTAATGACCTCTGCATCTATCAACCTATACATAAGTTGGGAGTCTGTTTTTGGCCAAATATTGGTTATTTCTCTTACGATTATAATCTCCATTGTTTAAACTCTGGCATATTATGCGGCTGTGAATCTCTGATTAAATGATTTTTTCCTTCCCTCATTAGGAAGGGAAAATATCACTGTCTTTTGCGGCATGGAGTAGGCATCTCAAAGAGCAGTACTTGATGTCTCACTACTGAAGTTACTACTAACATGTCAGTCTAACAGAGGTCAGGGGAAGAGGGCTGTTCTGAGGTCTTTTACTAAAACCATACACCATTATCTTAGCAATTACAAAGAGTAGAAAAAATGGGAGCAAGGAGGTTTATCTTGCCTCATTTTTCTTTCAAATTGCTTTTCCAATACTCTCTGTCTTTCCCAACTTAACTTGAAAATCCCATTGATGAAATTATATCTTTCTAGTAACCATTTATCAAAGCTTTCTGAATGGGGAGATGAAACTAATTACTCCACATGGCAGTTTTACAAGATGTGACACTGAACAGTTTTTGCAACACGAAATACCAACTTCTAGCCTTCTGAAACTTTCTGTGTGGTTTCCCATGTTGTTACATCACTTTGCAAACTTATCGGTTTCATATGACCCTTTGGCACACTAGGGTGAACAGTTCCCTCCTTTCTCCCTTCAGAAATGCCTTTAATCTTTGCAAATAAATGTTCTGCCATAAAGGATTGCATTTTAATTGCTTCATTTAAGATTAGGAAATGCTGTTGCCTGTGTGCCTTTCCTTTGCTCATTGAAGTAGTATTCCACATCATGGTGACAGAAGTACTCTTTCAGTAACATCTAATTCAGCAGTTTTTAACTGGGAACACCATACAGGAAGGCATAACTAAGAAAGCCTTTCCATTTGTGAACAGATAGTACAGAAAGTTCCCCTGTGTTCTTTGTTGCTGGAAGGAATACTCCGATTTGTAGAATGTAGGAAATTGAGAACCAAATTCTCTGCTTCACAATGAGATCATGGCTCAGAGTTAACAATCTCGCTGCCAGATTCCCTGCTGCTCTGGGGAAGGAGTAAACTTCACCAAGTCCAATGCACTTTCACTGGTGCATTGGCACAGCTAAGATGGTTCCCCTGTGTTCTTTGTTGCTGGAAGGAATACTCCGATTTGTAGAATGTAGGAAATTGAGAACCAAATTCTCTGCTTCACAATGAGATCATGGCTCAGAGTTAACAATCTCGCTGCCAGATTCCCTGCTGCTCTGGGGAAGGAGTAAACTTCACCAAGTCCAATGCACTTTCACTGGTGCATTGGCACAGCTAAGATGGCTAGCTCCTGTCCCCCTGGTCTTCTGGGGGGGTCCAGCAAAGCCGCTGGACCCCCCCAGCGGACCAGGGACACCCGAGCTCACGGGCGGCGGGTCGCCACCCGTGTCCTCCGGGGCGAGAAAAGCTTCTCCCAGTCTCCCTGGTCTGCTGGAGGCCCCCAGCAGACCAGGGACACCCAAGCAAAGCCGCCCAGGCGGCGGGAGTCCCGCTGCCTGGGCGGCTTTGCTCCAGGGCAAACGAGCAAAGCCGCCCAGGCAGCGGGACTCCCGCCGCCTGGGCGGCTTTGCTTGGGTGTCCCTGGTCTGCTGGGGGCCTCCAGCAGACCAGGGAGACTGGGAGAAGCTTTTCTCGCCCCGGAGGACACGGGTGGCGACCCGCCGCCCGTGAGCTCTGGGGCGAGAAAAGCCCCGTTCGTAAGTGCGGATCCGACATAAGTCGGATCCGCGTAAGTCGGGGTCTGCCTGTACACTGCACTCCATTCTGTCTGCAGCCACTGTGCCTAGACCCCAATTTGACCCAAAATGATTAGACTTGTGAATTATAAACACAGTGGAAAAACTGTTCAGTTCTGAAGAATTAGTTAAATCAGCATATAGAAGTGCACTACATGTTTGAGTACATATTAAAACAGCCGGCATTTCTCTCTAGCCACTTCATGCCCCTGGCAGGGTGGGAGCAGGGGACGAGAGACTTCGCACACTCCCCCAGGCCCTGATTGACCTGGGGGAGGGGAGCGTGTGTGAAGTCTCCTCCCCCCACCAAAACGCATTGCATTAGAGGAAACCGCCAGCGGTTTTAAAACAGATGGTGTTTGTAGCCACTGTATGCCCTTGGCAGGGTGGAAGGAGATGTTGCAGATCGTCCTCTGGGGTGGGGGAGTGGTAGAGTGGTCTTGGGCCGGATCCGGCTCTCGGAGTCCCCTTTGCCCACCCCAGTTTACAGTTTGGTTGAATGTCTCTTAAGACCCTGACTATACAAATTGTTCTAGCACTTTTGCCTGCATTTCCTTTATTTACTGGCAATGTGAGTTCAGTAAAAATGATGGATATTAAAAATGTATCTAAAATAAATTCATGAAATAATTTTATAAAGCCGAGCCAGTGAATACATTAAATTAAGTTTATACCCTGTGCAGTTCTTTTTAAAATGATTTTCACAATCTACATTTTTTCACGTTTCCTTTTGATTGATTAAAGTAAATGTGATACTGTAAGGGTACAACACCTTCTTATATTTCACTTAGCATTGCATAAGTCATGGTATTGTCACCTTTCCCATACCCAGTATTTCCTGAAAACTAATTTTTATAAGACAGTTGAAATACTCAGGCCTTCACATTCATAGCACAGACCAAGGAACAATAGTTACTTGTGGAGCCTTCTCTGGATCCATTCTCAGAACATTTGATGTAGTTAGGATTTTAGAGTTCAAAGTCATGCCACATGCTATCTTCCTACATCTAAAGGCTGCTTGAGTGACACTGTAGTTACTAAAATAACGTGACACTGGTAGACTTCTATTGCAAGAAAGCCTATTGTCTTGTCCCAGCTGCTATCACTACACAATCCCATTTTTGGTACCATAGACATTGTTCTAGAGGCTAGTATTTTCTCAAGCTATGGTCTGCAGATCTCTGGGGGGTCCTCCAGGAAATCTGGGAGTCATGTCCAGTTCCAGTGGGTCTGTGAGGACCAGATATGTCCAGGGCCACCAGCCCCATTCATCAACTCCTCCTTGATACCAAATTGCTCAACATGGTTAAGTCCGAAACAGACTGTGAAGAGCTTCAAAAGGATCACACAAAACTAGGTGACTGAGCAACAAAATGTCAGATGAACATTAATGTTGATAAATGCAAAGTAATGCATATCGGAGAACATAATCCCAACTATACATATAAAATTATGAGGTCTAAATTAGCTGTTACCACTCAAGAGAGAGATGCGGCCAATGAGGGCTACGGAGAAAGTCCTGAGGGCTGAGGCAGAGCAGCGCACAGCATAAACTGCCTGACCAAACTTCCACCTAGGACCAAGATGAAAATGTCACCTTTGGGGAGCTGCCTGAATTAAACATCTCCTGGAGCCTGCACCCCAAGCTTCTCCCATAGCCCTGAGCCCCTCCCACACTCAAACTCCCTCCAGGATCCAGCACTCCAAACCTCCTCCCATGTCCCAAACCCTCTGTGGCAGTCCTAGGCACCTCCTTGCAGCGGAGGCTGAAGCCAGGGCAGGGTACCCATGGCTCAGACCACTTGGGCCAGCAGGGGGTTCCCACTATTGGGAGGAGTTTCAGGGTTCCAGCATTGGGACCTTGTGCTGCAGGGGTGGTGCCACAGGACTAGTCCCCCTTTACAGGGTGTCCACCTGCTGCCTATGTACACCCAACGTGTTCTGATATTTTTTTTCCTGTGATCTGGTCATTTAGGAGTGGGGGCAGGCAGGGTCTGAGCAGCGATTGAGCACACCCAGGAATAATTAAAAGCTGGCACCTGTAGGCTTGGGGGGGTTGGGATCCGCAAAAAAATAAATAAAATGGGGGCAGGGGCCTAGATTTTCACTACATGCATATAGCAATGTAGGGATTGAGGATTGTCATGAGGATGAGGCATTGGACTTTAACACAGGAAATCAGGGTTCAATTCCTTACTCTGCCACAGATTACTTGACAGACTTTGGGAAAATTGCTTAATCTCTCTATTCCTCTGTCAGTTATTTATTTGAAAAATGGTGATGAGACTTTGGGAAAATTGCTTAATCTCTCTGTTCCTCTGTCAGTTATTTATTTGCTGGTTCAC